GCCACAGAAACGTTAATCAGGGACACAGAATTGTTACTGAGGGCCACAGAACTGTTACTTAGGGCCACAGAATTGTTACTCGCACAGACACAGAATTGTTACTCAGGGACACAGAATTGTTACTCAGGGACACATAATCGTTTAATTAAAGAGTATGTCAGACAACATGCAGAGGAGTGGCAGAGGAGGCAATGTTTTAGGAGCGAGCAGACGTGGCAGCAGAGGAAGGGGTCGAGGCAGCACTATTCGCAGCCAGAGGCCAGTGCTCCCGGTGTCATCCAGCGGTCGTCGTGTCTCCACCGACAACCCTGCCGTCGTCGATTGGTTGGCTCGGTCGTCTTCCTCTTCCCCAGTCACCTCTGACACCTACAGCCAACGGTCGGTGGGTACGTCAGACACAACCGTTAGTTGGCATGGCCCGGGACCAAGCCCACTGAAATCACGTGTCCTCTACCTGCCCCTGTCCTTTGGTGTTCCCTCACCAAGCGAAGTATCGCATGCTGTGGGCTCAGCCCCACTGTACAGTGAGGAAGAGCTAACAGAGGGCGGTCAGGAACGGGGGGAGACATCCGCCTTTTCAGCAGCCAGGCGAAGAAGTAGTGGCGAGGAGAGTGGCTCGGTAGCCGGTCTAGAGACAGGTCTGTCTCCTGACCCAGACGCAGCCGAGGGGGCTAGTAGTGAGGCGGAGACCCTACTTGATGATGAGGAGGTTGATCGCACTTGGCAGCCTCGTCGTCATCAGGCAATTTCTTCCGCATCATCAGGAGAAGAGGGTGGCAGCTTGGCAGCGAGCAAAACAGTCGGTGGGTTGCCCAGGAGACAGCAGAGGGTCGCAGCAGTGTCAGTGGTGGAGCCAAACGTCCACGGAGTAGAGCACCAGCTCCACTGCAGCCTACCACCACGGCCAGTAGTGGTGCCGGTGTGCACGGAGGAAGCAGCAGTCAGCCAGTGAGGAGTATCGGGGGCAAAGTTTCCTACTCGGCGGTGTGTGGCAATTTTTCGTCAAGCCGCCCGAGGAAGTAAACGTAGCCGTATGTCGACTATGTGGCCAGAAAGTCAAGCGTGGCCAGGGGGCCCATGTTGGGACTACAGCGTTGCGGCAGCATATGCAGCGTCGCCATTTGGTGGCCTGGGAAAACCGTGATAAAGATACGGCGGTTCTGCCCGCCCCAGCCCCCGCTCCATCACCCGCTCCGTTACTTGCTCCGTCACCCGACGTCAATCGCCCTCCATCAGCCAGTCAAGGCTCCAACACCCTCTGCTGAGGGGAGTTGTCGCTCGTTGGCATCTTCCGCTCGTTCAGATGCTCCTTCTCCTGCTACTCCTCTTCACGGATTCCGTCAGCAGTCTTTCTTGGAATCCGTTTCCAAGAGACAACAGTTTGCGAGCACGCACCCGACGGTGCAAAAGCTGAACGTCCTCCTGTCCAAGTTGCTGGTGCTGCAGTCCCTCCCTTTCCAAGTGGTGGACTCAGCACCTTTCAGAGAAATGATGGCTTGTGCCGCGCCGCGGTGGAGAGTGCCAAGCCGTCATTTCTTCGCCAAAAAGGCAGTGCCAGCCCTGCATTCACATGTAGAAGACATGGTGGGGCAGTCTTTGAGCATGTCGGTCTCTGCCAAAGTGCACGGCAGCGCCGACGTGTGGAGCTGTAACTATGGTCAGGGACAGTACATGTCATTTACGGCCCACTGGGTGAACGTGGTGCCGTCACAGCCGCACCAGCAACTTGGACAGGTCACGCCGCTTTTTTGCTCCACGTTTGCACGTCCTTGGTCCGGCAAAGATGTCCGCCTCTACCACCTCTTCTTCCGCCGTGTCCTCAGCCGCCACCCCCCCCCCCCCGTGCCAAGTCCCATTACCCGACCGGCATATCACACATGTGCAGGGCGCAACGGTGTCACGCTGTTCTGCACCTGGTATGCCTTGGCGAAACGTAGTCACACAGGGGAGGAACTTCTGAGTGTAATGAACAGAGAAATCGACAGATGGCTGTCTCCGCGCAAACTGAAAATCGGAACCATGTTGACCGACAACGGAAAGAACATGGTGTCTGCTCTGCGTCAAGGAAGGTTGTGCCATGCGCCATGCATGGCTCACGTGTTCAATCTGGTTGTCAAGCGGTTCTTAAAAAATCCACCATCCCACTGCAAGACATCCTTAAAATGTCACGTAAACTTTGCATGCATTTCAGCCATTCCTACACCGCAAAGCACACCCTCCCTTGAGCTGCAGCGGCAGAACGGAATTCCACAGCATCGCCTGATCTGCGACGTTTGCAACAAGGTGGAATTCAACCCTACACATGTTAGACCGCCTTTACGACAGCGAAAGGCCATCACCGATTTCCTGATGTTACAAGCGGATAAAGGTACTCCCCTGTGTAACTTCGATGTCAGCCATTGGCAGCTCATGCGTGACACCTGCCGCTTGCTCAGGCCCTTTGAGGAGGCCACGCTATTCGTGAGTCGGCAGGACTATGGGATGAACGACGTCATTCCTCTGTTGCACGTCCTTGAACAAATGCTGTTAACAATGGCTGGTCAGGGTGCGGTAGACGTGGCGCACAGATCTCAACGCCACATGACCCCTGGGGGGGGAGGACAGGAAGAAGAGGAGGAGGTAGAGGAGGACATTTGTGCTCAGGAATTATTGAGTGAAAAATGGGGTTTTTCCACTCAGCGGACAGGAGTGGAGGAGCAGGAGCATCTGGTAGAGGAGGAGGAGGAGGAGACAGAGGACCCAGACGCACCGTGGCAGTATGCTGTGGAGATGGAGGAGGGAGGGAGTCCCTCGCATTCCTTGGCACAAATGGCCCATAGCATGCTCGGTTGCTTGCGTAGCGACAGCCGAATAATAACCATCAGACAGAGGGATGACTTTTGGCTGTCCACCTTGTTGGACCCTCGCTACCGTTCCAAAATGGTGGCCTTTTTCACACCTGCTGAGAGGGAGGCCAAAATAACGTACTATAAAAACCACCTATGTAGTCAGTTGGTCTCTGCCTTTGTGCGCCAACGTCCATCCTCAGACACTGTGGGCCCTGTGCGCTCGCGTTCCGCTGCCATGGCAGCAGGGGAGGGGTGGGGTGGTAGGAGCAGTGGCAGCTCCACCAGCAGCAGCTGCCTCAGTCTGCAGTCGATGATGAGTAGCTTTCTTCACCAGCGCAGTGAGGAAACTACTAACCAGCCGCAGCAGCAGCAGCAGCATCAGGTGGACCTGGAGCAGGACCTCAAACAACAGGCTTGGGCCTACTTGGACAGCACCTGCCAACCGAGGTAGACAATCCCCTTGACTACTGGGCAACGAAACTTGACCTTTGGCCCCAACTAGCTGAATTTGCCCTTGAAAGGCTGTCATGCCCGGCCAGTAGCGTGGCATCGGAGCGCGTGTTTAGTGCGGCAGGAGGTATTGTAACTCCGCGGAGGACACGACTGTGTCCACCCAAAGTGTGGAGAGACTCACGTTTGTGAAAATGAATCAGGCGTGGATTAGTCTGGATTTCAAACCACCAGTTCCTGACACAACTGACTAAATCCGCCATGAATCATGCCTCAAACATGTGCCACTTTGAGGTCTCCTCACACACTGCTGGTGTGTAGAATTTTTTGACATAGGGTGCTGGCAGATTACGGCCTCCCATAGCTGCTGCCAGGCCCCTAATCTGCCATAGGCCCCTATATACCGCGCCTCCTCATGCTGCTGCCAGGTCCAGAGTCTCTCATGGGTCCCTGTACGGCCTCCCATTGCTGCTGTCTCCATCGCCACACTCTGCCATGTGCCACTTTCAGGTCTCCTCACACACTGCTGGTGTGTAGAATTTTTTGACATAGGGTGCTGGCAGATTATGGGCCTCCCATAGCTGCTGCCAGGCCCCTAATCTGCCATAGGCCCCTATATACCGCCTCCTCATGCTGCTGCCAGGTCCAGAGTCTCTCATGGGGGTCCCTGTACGGCCTCCCATTGCTGCTGTCTCCATCGCCACACTCTGCCATGTGCCACTTTCAGGTCTCCTCACACACTGCTGTGTGTGTAGAATTTTTTGACATAGGGTGCTGGCAGATTACGGGCCTCCCATAGCTGCTGCCAGGCCCCTAATCTGCCATGCCATAGGCCCCTATATACCGCCTCCTCATGCTGCTGCTGCCAGGTCCAGAGTCTCATGGGTCCCTGTACGGCCTCCCATTGCTGCTGTCTCCATCGCCACACTCTGCCATGTGCCACTTTCAGGTCTCCTCACACACTGCTGGTGTGTAGAATTTTTTGACATAGGGTGCTGGCAGATTACGGGCCTCCCATAGCTGCTGCCAGGCCCCTAATCTGCCATAGGCCCCTATATACCGCCTCCTCATGCTGCTGCCAGGTCCAGAGTCTCAGCATGGGTCCCTGTACGGCCTCCCATTGCTGCTGTCTCCATCGCCACACTCTGCCATGTGCCACTTTCAGGTCTCCTCACACACTGCTGGTGTGTAGAATTTTTTGACATAGGGTGCTGGCAGATTATGGGGCCTCCCATAGCTGCTGCCAGGCCCCTAATCTGCCATAGGCCCCTATATACCGCCTCCTCATGCTGCTGCCAGGTCCAGAGTCTGTCATGGGTCCCTGTACGGCCTCCCATTGCTGCTGTCTCCATCGCCACACTCTGCCATGTGCCACTTTCAGGTCTCCTCACACACTGCTGGTGTGTAGAATTTTTTGACATAGGGTGCTGGCAGATTATGGGCTCCCATAGCTGCTGCCAGGCCCCTAATCTGCCATAGGCCCCTATATACCGCCTCCTCATGCTGCTGCCAGGTCCAGAGTCTCTCATGGGTCCCTGTACGGCCTCCCATTGCTGCTGTCTCCATCGCCACACTCTGCTGCATGTGCCACTTTCAGGTCTCCCTCACACACTGCTGGTGTGTAGAATTTTTTGACATAGGGTGCTGGCAGATTACGGGGCCTCCCATAGCTGCTGCCAGGCCCCTAATCTGCCATAGGCCCCTATATACCCCCGCCTCCTCATGCTGCTGCCAGGTCCAGAGTCTCTCATGGGTCCCTGTACGGCCTCCCATTGCTGCTGTCTCCATCGCCACACTCTGCCATGTGCCACTTTCAGGTCTCCTCACACACTGCTGGTGTGTAGAATTTTTTGACATAGGGTGCTGGCAGATTACGGGCCTCCTATATAGCTGCTGCCAGGCCCCTAATCTGCCATAGGCCCCTATATACCGCCGCCCTCATGCTGCTGCCAGGTCCAGAGTCTCTCATGGGTCCCTGTACGGCCTCCCATTGCTGCTGTCTCCATCGCCACACTCTGCCATGTGCCACTTTCAGGTCTCCTCACACACTGCTGGTGTGTAGAATTTTTTTTTTGACATAGGGTGCTGGCAGATTACGGGCCTCCCATAGCTGCTGCCAGGCCCCTAATCTGCCATAGGCCCCTATATACCGCCTCCTCATGCTGCTGCCAGGTCCAGAGTCTCTCATGGGTCCCTGTACGGCCTCCCCCATTGCTGCTGTCTCCATCCCATCGCCACACTCTGCCATGTGCCACTTTCAGGTCTCCTCACACTGCTGGTGTGTGTGTAAATTTTTTGATAGGGTGCTGGCAGATTATGGGCCTCCCATAGCTGCTGCCAGGCCCCTAATCTGCCATAGGCCCCTATATACCGCCTCCTCATCTGCTGCTGCCAGGTCCAGAGTCTCTCATGGGTCCCTGTACGGCCTCCCATTGCTGCTGTCTCCATCGCCACACTCTGCCATGCCATGTGCCACTTTCAGGTCTCCTCACACTGCTGGTGTGTGAAATTTTTTTGACATAGGGTGCTGGCAGATTACGGGCCTCCCATAGCTGCTGCCAGGCCCCTAATCTGCCATAGGCCCCTATATACCGCCTCCTCATGCTGCCCTCCCATTGCTGCTGTGCTGTCCAGGTCCAGAGTCTGTCATGGGTCCCTGTACGGCCTCCCATTGCTGCTGTCTCCATCGCCACACTCTGCCATGTGCCACTTTCAGGTCTCCTCACACACTGCTGCTGGTGTGTAGAATTTTTTGACATAGGGTGCTGGCAGATTACGGGCCTCCCATAGCTGCTGCCAGGCCCCTAATCTGCCATAGGCCCCTATATACCGCCTCCTCATGCTGCTGCCAGGTCCAGAGTCTCTCATGGGTCCCTGTACGGCCCTCCCATTGCTGCTGTCTCCATCGCCACACCACACCTGCCATGTGCCACTTTCAGGTCTCCTCACACACTGCTGGTGTGTAGAATTTTTTTTTGACATAGGGTGCTGGCAGATTACGGGCCTCCCATAGCTGCTGCCAGGCCCCTAATCTGCCATAGGCCCCTATATACCCCGCCTCCTCCTCATGCTGCTGCCAGGTCCAGAGTCTCTCATGGGTCCCTGTACGGCCTCCCATTGCTGCTGTCTCCATCGCCACACTCTGCCATGTGCCACTTTCAGGTCTCCTCACACACTGCTGGTGTGTAGAATTTTTTTGACATAGGGTGCTGGCAGATTACGGGCCTCCCATAGCTGCTGCCAGGCCCCTAATCTGCCATAGGCCCCTATATACCGCCTCCTCATGCTGCTGCTGCCAGGTCCAGAGTCTCTCATGGGTCCCTGTACGGCCTCCCATTGCTGCTGTCTCCATCGCCACACTCTGCCATGTGCCACTTTCAGGTCTCCTCACACACTGCTGGTGTGTAGAATTTTTTTGACATAGGGTTCTGGCAGATTACGGGCCTCCCATAGCTGCTGCCAGGCCCCTAATCTGCCATAGGCCCCCTATATACCGCCTCCTCATGCTGCTGCCAGGTCCAGAGTCTCTCATGGGTCCCTGTACGGCCTCCCATTGCTGCTGTCTCCATCGCCACACTCTGCCATGTGCCACTTTCAGGTCTCCTCACACACTGCTGGTGTGTAGAATTTTTGACATAGGGTGCTGGCAGATTACGGGCCTCCCATAGCTGCTGCCAGGCCCCTAATCTGCCATAGGCCCCTATATACCGCCTCCTCATGCTGCTGCCAGGTCCAGAGTCTGTCATGGGTCCCTGTACGGCCTCCCATTGCTGCTGTCTCCATCGCCACACTCTGCCATGTGCCACTTTCAGGTCTCCTCACACACTGCTGGTGTGTAGAATTTTTTTGACATAGGGTGCTGGCAGATTACGGGCCTCCCATAGCTGCTGCCAGGCCCCTAATCTGCCATAGGCCCCTATATACCGCCTCCTCATGCTGCTGCCAGGTCCAGAGTCTGTCATGGGTCCCTGTACGGCCTCCCATTGCTGCTGTCTCCATCGCCACACTCTGCCATGTGCCACTTTCAGGTCTCCTCACACACTGCTGGTGTGTAGAATTTTTTTTTGACATAGGGTGCTGGCAGATTACGGGCCTCCCATAGCTGCTGCCAGGCCCCTAATCTGCCATAGGCCCCTATATACCGCCTCCTCATGCTGCTGCCAGGTCCAGAGTCTCTCATGGGTCCCTGTACGGCCTCCCATTGCTGCTGTCTCCATCGCCACACTCTGCCATGTGCCACTTTCAGGTCTCCTCACACACTGCTGGTGTGTAGAATTTTTTTGACATAGGGTGCTGGCAGATTATGGGCCTCCCATAGCTGCTGCCAGGCCCCTAATCTGCCATAGGCCCCTATATACCGCCTCCTCTCCTCATGCTGCTGCCAGGTCCAGAGTCTCTCATGGGTCCCTGTACGGCCTCCCATTGCTGCTGTCTCCATCGCCACACTCTGCCATGTGCCACTTTCAGGTCTCCTCACACACTGCTGCTGTGTGTAGAATTTTTTGACATAGGGTGCTGGCAGATTACGGGCCTCCCATAGCTGCTGCCAGGCCCCTAATCTGCCATAGGCCCCTATATACCGCTACCGCCTCCTCATGCTGCTGCCAGGTCCAGAGTCTCTCATGGGTCCCTGTACGGCCTCCCATTGCTGCTGTCTCCATCGCCACACTCTGCCATGTGCCACTTTCAGGTCTCCTCACACACTGCTGGTGTGTAGAATTTTTTGACATAGGGTGCTGGCAGATTACGGGCCTCCCATAGCTGCTGCCAGGCCCCTAATCTGCCATAGGCCCCTATATACCGCCCCTCCTCATGCTGCTGCCAGGTCCAGAGTCTGTCATGGGTCCCTGTACGGCCTCCCATCCCATTGCTGCTGTCTCCATCGCCACACTCTGCCATGTGCCACTTTCAGGTCTCCTCACACACTGCTGGTGTGTAGAATTTTTTGACATAGGGTGCTGGCAGATTACGGGCCTCCCATAGCTGCTGCCAGGCCCCTAATCTGCCATAGGCCCCTATATACCGCCTCCTCTCTCATGCTGCTGCCAGTCCAGAGTCTGTCATGGGTCCCTGTACGGCCTCCCATTGCTGCTGTCTCCATCGCCACACTCTGCCATGTGCCACTTTCAGGTCTCCTCACACACTGCTGGTGTGTAGAATTTTTTGACATAGGGTGCTGGCAGATTACGGGCCTCCCATAGCTGCTGCCAGCCAGCCCCTAATCTGCCCATAGGCCCCTATATACCGCCTCCTCATGCTGCTGCCCAGGTCCAGAGTCTCTCATGGGTCCCTGTACGGCCTCCCATTGCTGCTGCTCCATCCATCGCCACACTCTGCCATGTGCCATGTGCCACTTTCAGGTCTCCTCACACACTGCTGGTGTGTAGAATTTTTTGACATAGGGTGCTGGCTGGCAGATTACGGGGCCTCCCATAGCTGCTGCCAGGCCCCTAATCTGCCATAGGCCCCCTATATACCGCCTCCTCATGCTGCTGCCAGGTCCAGAGTCTGTCATGGGTCCCTGTACGGCCTCCCATTGCTGCTGTCTCCATCGCCACACTCTGCCATGTGCCACTTTCAGGTCTCCTCACACACTGCTGGTGTGTAGAATTTTTTGACATAGGGTGCTGGCAGATTACGGGCCTCCCATAGCTGCTGCCAGGCCCCTAATCTGCCATAGGCCCCTATATACCGCCTCCTCATGCTGCTGCCAGGTCCAGAGTCTCTCATGGGTCCCTGTACGGCCTCCCATTGCTGCTGTCTCCATCGCCACACTCTGCCATGTGCCACTTTCAGGTCTCCTCACACACTGCTGGTGTGTAGAATTTTTTTGACATAGGGTGCTGGCAGATTACGGGCCTCCCATAGCTGCTGCCAGGCCCCTAATCTGCCATAGGCCCCTATATATACCGCCTCCTCCTCATGCTGCTGCCAGGTCCAGAGTCTCTCATGGGTCCCTGTACGCCTCCCATTGCTGCTGTCTCCATCGCCACACTCTGCCATGTGCCACTTTCAGGTCTCCTCACACACTGCTGGTGTGTAGAATTTTTTGACATAGGGTGCTGGCAGATTACGGGCCTCCCATAGCTGCTGCCAGGCCCCTAATCTGCCATAGGCCCCTATATACCGCCTCCTCATGCTGCTGCCAGGTCCAGAGTCTGTCATGGGTCCCTGTACGGCCTCCCATTGCTGCTGTCTCCATCGCCACACTCTGCCATGTGCCACTTTCAGGTCTCCTCACACACTGCTGGTGTGTAGAATTTTTTGACATAGGGTGCTGGCAGATTACGGGCCTCCCATAGCTGCTGCCAGGCCCCTAATCTGCCATAGGCCCCTATATACCGCCTCCTCATGCTGCTGCCAGGTCCAGAGTCTCTCATGGGTCCCTGTACGGCCTCCCATTGCTGCTGTCTCCATCGCCACACTCTGCCATGTGCCACTTTCAGGTCTCCTCACACACACTGCTGGTGTGTAGAATTTTTTGACATAGGGTGCTGGCAGATTACGGGCCTCCCATAGCTGCTGCCAGGCCCCTAATCTGCCATAGGCCCCTATATACCGCCTCCTCATGCTGCTGCCAGGTCCAGAGTCTCTCATGGGTCCCTGTACGGCCTCCCATTGCTGCTGTCTCCATCGCCACACTCTGCCATGTGCCACTTTCAGGTCTCCTCACACACTGCTGGTGTGTAGAATTTTTTGACATAGGGTGCTGGCAGATTACGGGCCTCCCATATAGCTGCTGCCAGGCCCCTAATCTGCCATGCCATAGGCCCCCTATATACCGCCTCCTCATGCTGCTGCCAGGTCCAGAGTCTCTCATGGGTCCCTGTACGGCCTCCCATTGCTGCTGTCTCCATCGCCACACTCTGCCATGTGCCACTTTCAGGTCTCCTCACACACTGCTGGTGTGTAGAATTTTTTGACATAGGGTGCTGGCAGATTACGGGCCTCCCATAGCTGCTGCCAGCAGGCCCTAATCTGCCATAGGCCCCTATATACCCGCCTCCTCCTCATGCTGCTGCCCAGGTCCAGAGTCTCTCATGGGTCCCTGTACGGCCTCCCATTGCTGCTGTCTCCATCGCCACACTCTGCCATGTGCCACTTTCAGGTCTCCTCACACACTGCTGGTGTGTAGAATTTTTTGACATAGGGTGCTGGCAGATTACGGGCCTCCCATAGCTGCTGCCAGGCCCCTAATCTGCCATAGGCCCCTATATACCGCCTCCTCATGCTGCTGCCAGGTCCAGAGTCTCTCATGGGTCCCTGTACGGCCTCCCATTGCTGCTGTCTCCATCGCCACACTCTGCCATGTGCCACTTTCAGGTCTCCTCACACACTGCTGCTGGTGTGTAGAAATTTTTTGACATAGGGTGCTGGCAGATTACGGGCCTCCCATAGCTGCTGCCAGGCCCCTAATCTGCCATAGGCCCCTATATACCGCCCCGCCTCCTCATGCTGCTGCCAGGTGAGAGTCTCTCATGGGTCCCTGTACGGCCTCCCATTGCTGCTGTCTCCATCGCCACACTCTGCCATGTGCCACTTTCAGGTCTCCTCACACACTGCTGGTGTGTAGAATTTTTTTGACATAGGGTGCTGGCAGATTACGGGCCTCCCATAGCTGCTGCCAGGCCCCTAATCTGCCATAGGCCCCTATATACCGCCTCCTCATGCTGCTGCCCAGGTCCAGAGTCTCTCATGGGTCCCTGTACGGCCTCCCATTGCTGCTGCTGTCTCCATCGCCACACTCTGCCATGTGCCACTTTCAGGTCTCCTCACACACTGCTGGTGTGTAGAATTTTTTGACATAGGGTGCTGGCAGATTATGGGCCTCCCATAGCTGCTGCCAGGCCCCCCTAATCTGCCATAGGCCCCTATATACCGCCTCCTCATGCTGCTGCCAGGTCCAGAGTCTCTCATGGGTCCCTGTACGGCCTCCCATTGCTGCTGTCTCCATCGCCACACTCTCTGCTGTGCCACTTTCAGGTCTCCTCACACACTGCTGGTGTGTAGAATTTTTTTGACATAGGGTGCTGGCAGATTACGGGCCTCCCATAGCTGCTGCCAGGCCCCTAATCTGCCATAGGCCCCTATATACCGCCTCCTCATGCTGCTGCTGCCCAGGTCCAGAGTCTCTCATGGGTCCCTGTACGGCCTCCCATTGCTGCTGTCTCCATCCCACCACACTCTGCCATGTGCCACTTTCAGGTCTCCTCACACACTGCTGGTGTGTAGAATTTTTTGACATAGGGTGCTGGCAGATTACGGGCCTCCCATAGCTGCTGCCAGGCCCCTAATCTGCCATAGGCCCCTATATACCGCCTCCTCATGCTGCTGCCAGGTCCAGAGTCTGTCATGGGTCCCTGTACGGCCTCCCATTGCTGCTGTCTCCATCGCCACACTCTGCCATGTGCCACTTTCAGGTCTCCTCACACACTGCTGGTGTGTAGAATTTTTTGACATAGGGTGCTGGCAGATTATGGGCCTCCCATAGCTGCTGCCAGGCCCCTAATGCCATAGGCCCCTATATACCGCCTCCTCATGCTGCTGCCAGGTCCAGAGTCTCTGTCATGGGTCCCTGTACGGCCTCCCATTGCTGCTGTCTCCATCGCCACACTCTGCCATGTGCCACTTTCAGGTCTCCTCACACACTGCTGGTGTGTAGAATTTTTTGACATAGGGTGCTGGCAGATTATGGGCCTCCCATAGCTGCTGCCAGGCCCCTAATCTGCCATAGGCCCCTATATACCGCCTCCTCATGCTGCTGCCAGGTCCAGAGTCTGTCATGGGTCCCTGTACGGCCTCCCATTGCTGCTGTCTCCATCGCCACGGCCCCTGTTGTCGCTTGTTGGCATATTCCGCTCGTTCAGATGCTCCTTCCTCCTGCTACTCCTCTTCACGGATTCCGTCAGCAGTCTTTCTTGGAATCCGTTTCCAAGAGACAACAGTTTGCGAGCACGCACCAGACAGTGCAGAAACTGAACGTCCTCCTGTCCAAGTTGCTGCTGCCAGGCTCGTAATCTGTCATGCGCCCCTGTACCGCCTCCTCATGCTGCTGCCCAGGTCCAGAGTGTGTCATGGGCCCCCGTACCGACTCCAAATGCTGCTGCCAGGCCCGTAATCTGTCATGGGCCCCTGTACCGCCTCCCCATGCTGCTGCCACGTCCAGATTGTGTCATGGGTCCCTGTACGGCCTCCCATTGCTGCTGCCAGGCCCTGTAATCTGCCATGGGCCCCCGTACCGACTCCTCATGCTGCTGCCAGGCCCGTAATCTGCCATGGGCCCCTGTACCGCCTCCTCATGCTGCTGCCAGGTCCAGAGTGTGTCATGGGTCCCTGTACGGCCTCCCATTGCTGCTGTCTCTATCGCCACACTCTGCCATGTGCCACTTTCAGGTCTCCTCACACTGCTGGTGGTTTCCATTTTTGTCATAGGGTGCTGTATGGCCTCCCATTGCTGCTGCCTCCACCGCCACACTGTGGCTCCACACTCTGGTTTTGGCCCCGTGACTGGCCAAATGAGTGAAGTGTGCGGTGATTCTAAGATCGACGGCACTCATCTGCATGTCATACTGCCTGACAGTATTATTTCTCTTCCCCAGCAGACTCCAAGGGCATTTAAATTAAAGGTACAGTGTTCAGCACTAATATTAAGTCTACTCTTCTCTGTGGGGAGTGATAAGATTGTCCATTATGATGGGAGCTAGGATGTCGAGGGCCTTGGGTTTTCCTAGGTGTACTGTGGTAGTAATTTTGATTCCTAGGCGTGCTATGGTAGTAATTTTGATTTCCTGGTTGTCTGTATTGTTGTTGATGGGAAAATTTATTGTTATTATGATTATGTTGTTGTTGATGAGGAGAATTGTAATTGTGGCGTGGTTTCTTAGACTGAACTGGGTGCCATCTCATATCTCTCGAGCCAATGTTCTCGTCCTCCATATTATAGAGAGGTTTCAAACCTATTTTGAATGGGGACAGATACGACATTATTGTTAGTCATGGGTCTCCTAGATGGTCTGTACATATGATGATTATTATCCCTTATGTGGGGAGTACCCTGCATATTGGGTTTGTTTATGGGTGTTGAAGAAAAATTATCCTGCGGGGTATCTATTTTGGGAATTTGCCATTTAAATACTTGTTTACTCTGGTAATCACTAGTGTCCCTGGAAAATTTCTTACGCTTTTTGTTTTTCTGTGTGCGTTCTACACCTTTTAGGTGTGCTTGCAGTTTATTGGATTCTATAGTGTATTCAGGTGTGCCCTTAAAAGGTGTAAGCTGTTCTCTAATTTTTTGTTAATTTCATTGTCTAAATGCGTAAGTTTCTTCTTTTTCCTAATTATAAGGAATTTCAAGAGATCAAGGCCCATATTGTTAAAAAAATGGTACCACTCCTGCTCATTATTAATGTCACCGGTTTCTGGGGGGACTTCCCACCTCAGGGATCTGGGGACCATGTTATCCTTTATATATCTCTCTAGCAATGATATGTCCCATAAAGTCCTTATTTCTGAAGAGGTAATATTTTGTAAATGTAGAAATATACCACTAATATTTTCAGTATCTTTATCCATAGAAAAGGTATCCTCTGGGATATTGAGCCTTTTTTGTCTAAGCTCAAAGATATCCATAATGAATGCAATGCTGCTCAGCTATATTGTAGTATGATATGAAGTATAAATGTGTGAGTTTAGCGAGCGCACCAATAAAAAGCTGCTGATGCACAAAAAGGAACCACAAAGCCTTTCTAAGATTATGACATGAAAATAGGGTGTGCAGCGCTATATAAAAAAACACACTGTCTAAAGTATGACAAAATATGACAGAAATGGAAAAATCCCATAAACTGGATGTTAGACAGTCCAAAGTAATATAATATCAGTCCAAAAAGGTATATTCCAGTGATGGAGTATAAATGACTTCAATCCAAATGGGTATATTCCAGCATCCTAACATGAAGGTGTAGAAAAATTGCCACTCACCGGAAGTGCAATTTAATGTGCACATAGAAATTCCATGAAGCCGGAGGTCCCATGAAGGTATAGCCTGATGATAAAGGTGCCCTCTGGGGGTGGATAGGGTGACGGCTGCCAGAGAAGTTGATCTGGACCAATTTCCCAAATTGTCCTGCCTGGGTGGACTCCTAGAATGCTGGGCTGAGATGTGGAGGCTCAGTGCCAGGTAGTAGAGATGAGAACGCTCATAGTGTAGTATTATAAAAAGTATTTATTGAGTATATATCATTAAGATAAAACAGTAAACGTACAGGGTTAGAGTACCTATACAGGTATGGTGTAAATGAGCTCTTTAAATGCACTGACCAGTGAATATAAATGATGGCCACCGGACCTCCTGATCCGGTGGCGTAACGTCAAGGCGTGCAGAGGCTCCTCCTAGACGCGCTTCGTGTAATAACACGTCTCCTGTAGGGGTAATGCCATGCATGCCTGACGTCTCCTTACTGCTATTTGTAGCCTATGTGCAATAGGCCGAAAAACGGCAGAACGGCGCCAGGACACTTTTTGGCGCAATTTTAGGCTACAAATAGCAGTAAGGAGACGTCAGGCATGCATGGCATCACCCCTACAGGAGACGTGTTATTACACGAAGCGCGTCTAGGAGGAGCCTCTGCACGCTTGACGTTACGCCACCGGATCAGGAGGTCCGGTGGCCATCATTTATATTCACTGGTCAGTGCATTTAAAGAGCTCATTTACACCATACCTGTATAGGTACTCTAACCCTGTACGTTTACTGTTTTATCTTAATGATATATACTCAATAAATACTTTTTATAATACTACACTATGAGCGTTCTCATCTCTACTACCTGGCACTGAGCCTCCACATCTCAGCCCAGCATTCTAGGAGTCCACCCAGGCAGGACAATTTGGGAAATTGGTCCAGATCAACTTCTCTGGCAGCCGTCACCCTATCCACCCCAGAGGGCACCTTTATCATCAGGCTATACTTCATGGGACCTCCGGCTTCATGGAATTTCTATGTGCACATTAAATTGCACTTCCGGTGAGTGGGCAATTTTTCTACACCTTCATGTTAGGATGCTGGAATATACCCATTTGGATTGAAGTCATTTATACTCCATCACTGGAATATACCTTTTTGGACTGATATTATATTTACTTTGGACTGTCTAACATCCAGTTTATGGGATTTTTCCATTTCTGTCATATTTTGTCATACTTTAGACAGTGTGTTTTATTTATATAGCGCTGCACACCCTATTTTCATGTCATAATCTTAGAAAAGGCTTTGTGGTTCCTTTTTGTGCATCAGCAGCTTTTATTGGTGCGCTCGCTAAACTCACACATTTTATACTTCATATCATACTACAATATAGCTGAGCAGCATTGCATTCATTATGGATATCTTTGAGCTTAGACAAAAAAGGCTCAATATCCCAGAGGATACCTTTTCTATGGATAAAGATACTGAAAATATTAGTGGTATATTTCTACATTTACAAAATATTACCTCTTCAGAAATAAGGACTTTATGGGACATATCATTGCTAGAGAGATATATAAAGGATAACATGGTCCCCAGATCCCTGAGGTGGGAAGTCCCCCCAGAAACCGGTGACATTAATAATGAGCAGGAGTGTACCATTTTTTTAACAATATGGGCCTTGATCTCTTGAAATTCCTTATAATTAGGAAAAAGAAGAAACTTACGCATTTAGACAATGAAATTAACAAAATTAGAGAACAGCTTACACCTTTTAAGGGCACACCTGAATACACTATAGAATCCAATAAACTGCAAGCACACCTAAAAGGTGTAGAACGCACACAGAAAAACAAAAAGCGTAAGAAATTTTCCAGGGACACTAGTGATTACCAGAGTAAACAAGTATTTAAATGGCAAATTCCCAAAATAGATACCCCGCAGGATAATTTTTCTTCAACACCCATGAACAAACCCAATATGCAGGGTACTCCCCACATAAGGGATAATAATCATCATATGTACAGACCATCTAGGAGACCCATGACTAACAATAATGTCGTATCTGTCCCCCATTCAAAATAGGTTTGAACCTCTCTATAATATGGAGGACGAGAACATTGGCTCGAGAGATATGAGATGGCACCCAGTTCAGTCTAAGAAACCACGCCACAATTACAATTCTCCTCATCAACAACAACATAATCATAATAACAATAAATTTTTCCCATCAACAACAATACAGACAACCAGGAAATCAAAATTACTACCATAGCACGCCTAGGAATCAAAATTACTACCACAGTACACCTAGGAAAACCCAAGGCCCTCGACATCCCTAGCTCCCATCATAATGGACAATCTTATCACTCCCCACAGAGAAGAGTAACTTATTCCAATACTCATAATCATGGGAATTATAACAACTATAATAAAGACCATAATCATCATCAGAATGGCCCAAATAACCACAACCATCAAAATAACAATTATAATACAGATCCACAACCACGTCCACATTTTTTAGGAGGGGGATGCACAAGAAAAAGAAGTGCAAGTACAGAGGATGTAGAGGAGGAAAGAGGGTTAACAGACCCAAAGAAAAGGAGAACATAACAGGTAAGGGCATATACAACCTAAGTGGTACTGTTTTAACAACACAGGAACTTAAGGTTTTAGACAAAGGCTTAAAGTATGCACCCAAATCGAAACTTAATAAGTTTCAAACCTATGTGGACATTCACAAGTTCACAAGGAAATTGTCAATCAAAAGACACTTTATGAGTAATCCCATAGGATCCAGTAATTCAACTAATAACTCCCATCATACTAATCTCAGAAACGCATCTCTATTTAACCCCCCACCATACAAACAATCATATATCAATATTTTCAGGAACTAGTTATCAAGGATGTCGAAACGATTAGAATAAAACAACCACGCAACCCTAAGGATCTTGATATAGGCCTCAAATCTCTACTAAATAACAAAGATCTTGTTATTCGGCCCGCAGACAAAGGGGGAGGCGTAGTGGTTTTGAAGAAAACAGACTATATCACTGAGGCCTTAAAAATCCTTGGCGACAAGGACACCTATACCATACTCCCAAAAAATCCGCTCATCGCATACAAGAAGTCTCTGAAGAGCCTTATTAAACTGGGGTTTGACCATCATGTCATTAATAAAAAAGAAAGAGATTATTTATGCCCTAAAGCACCAAGACTTCCAGTTTTTTACTACCTCCCTAAAGTACACAAAGACCCCATACATCCCCCAGGTAGACCAATAATCAGCAGAATTGGCTCGCTATGTTCTAAAGTTGGTGAGTACATCGACTACTTTTTACAACCTCTGGTTACATCCACCCCATCTTACATCAAAGACACCAAACAGATATTAAATGAAATAAGTACGCTCAATTGGGACCCCGATCTTACAACTTTCCTTGTTACTGCTGACGTGACTTCGTTAT